AGATCTTTTTATCGAAAGATGTTTGTTGTAAGAAGCGTCTTCCCAGATCCATTAGTGCGACGAACATAATTTTGTGTTCAGTGAAACACTTTGGGGCGAGATATACTGTGTGGACCAATCAGAGACGAGAATGTGTGGACCAATCAGTGACGATAATTTACTACAAGCTCACACTGATATACTATAATCACATTGTTTACTTTTATAATCTCATCCATAGAGATGTAAATATTGACTTTGTGTACATAATTGTTTGGTTTAGAGAGGTGATGTCCTGGTCCACACAGCAGCCGCGCACGTTGAGCAAGAACGTGGACCTGAAGCAGCAGTTTTAAGGCACCGGACTATAATAATTACCGTGTTCCGCCACCTTTAGGCCGCGCCGCAGCGTTAATAATATAAACTCGGTCAACTCTTATATTTTAATGTGTAGATTAAGTTCTCTTATGAGGCACATGTCTTAAGCGACTGTAAGTTGTAGTTCTGAACTTCTTGTTTTGTTTTCTTTATGTAACTAGGTAGTTATACACTCTAATTGTAAGAAATATACTACCCAAAAACTGCTGTTCACGTCCCTAGAGGCTGCGCTCGACAATAACACTTGTCCACATAACAATTGTCGACCGCAGCCATACAGTGTGTTACAGTCTGAGAAACAAGGTTATGAAAGTGTACTTAAACTGCTTGTTTAAACATGATCAGGTGTAAAATATCACCACACAAATAATTTAATTACAAACGGTAATAATTAAACAGCACACAACGGTAGAACAACATGTACGCTCATATACCAATGAAAAAGCTCCAGGAAGTTTGGGTGGGCATAGTCCATCAGACAACCATCTCATGTAAACAATGTCTTTGAGAGAACATCAACGACTCACATAAAATATATATATCAAGAATTCTGTCTAATGTCTGATTTATAAATACCCCCAACCCTTCATGGAGCTGTACAGATAATAATAATAATAATAATAAAAGAAAATTAAAACATTGGTAACATAATGAGTACTGAATCAACTTCAAACTTTTTCCGTGTAAATTTGAACAAGAATTTACATAGTGACATCCAAATTAATTTACAGTACTATACCGTTTCTTTTTCGTAAATTGCAAACTGATGTAAATAAATAATATGTAGGAAACCTCTAAATGTAAACCAAATATACCATACGTAACCTTGGTGTTGTAAATGGATGTAAAACAATATACACTCCTATACCATTTTACACGTGTAAGTGGAAACAAGTGGACTTTGTAAATAACTCCCACAAGAGGAGAGAAAATGAAGCATAGCAAAGGGTCATTTGAAGCCACTAATTAACAACTGAACTACTATGTCCCTTAATTAGGAAGGGGGAGGTGGGGGGTAAAGGGGGGGAAGGGTGACTTGAGAGAGAAGGGAGGTGTGAGGGGGAAGGGATGTAAGGGTGTTATGAGGGGGGGGGGTGAGAGGAGGTGGGTGTAAGGATGGAGAATAAGAGAGAAGGGAGAATTAAGTGTGTACAGGATCACTATTAAATGCAATTAATTATTCCAAAAACCATTAATTTAATTTTTTGTTTTTCAATATATATATTTTTTTACCATTCTTGTCTGTGTA